TGTGTGATCTTTTAAGCTCTCTATGCTCCAGTTTCCTCATTTATAAAATGGAAATTATCATGATTCTTATCTATAAATGTTAGAGTGTGTTACATGTTGAATTGTGCTCCTAAAAAAAAAGGTATTTTCAAGTTCTAACCCCCAGTACCTATGAATTTCTTTATTTGGAAATATGGTCTTTGCAGATATAATGAGTTAACATGTGGTCATACTGTATTAGGGTAGGTCTTAGTCCTATATGGCTGGTGTCTTCATAAGAAGAGGAAAAGAAACAAAAATACATACAGGGAGAACAGCATATGGTGAGGGAGTTTGCAGTGATGCATCTGCAAGTCAAGGACTGCCAGATTAAGAAAAAGGTATGGAACAGATTCCTCCCTACAGCCTTCAGAATGAGTAATGCCCTGCTGATACCTTAAATCCCAATTTCTAGCCTCCAGAGCTGTGAGAGAATACATTTCTGTTCTTATAAGCTAGCCAGTCTGCAGTGTTTTGTTATATCAATTCTAGGAAACTAACATAAGAAATTTACTAAAATAATGCATGCACTGTGTTTCTGTCTGTGCTTGGTACATAGTAATTGTTCACTAAATATCTTCTATTATTTTACTAATAGTACTATGGTAATAGTATTGCTATTACCATTACTATGACTATTACTACTATCACCACCAGCATAACTTAAAATAGATCTAAATCTTGCTGAACATAATAAGGCTTTAAGCCAAGCAAAATGTAGGCCAAAATATTGGGGTCTTTCAAATGTTGCACTGCCTAGAATTTCTGACATGTTATTGTCTGATGTATTTGTACCCTACAGGACTGGAGAGAATTCTGGAAATTAGCTGTAGGCCTCAAGGCAGCTTGGAAAACTCACAAATCATCATGATGGCTCGGAAAAACCACAAATCCAAGATTCCCCTGCTCAAAGCTACTTTCTCCATGGCTGGCCTTGTAGCTCAGTGGTCTCCCTCATTCACTGACATTTCAGGGAAGGATTTCTCTTATTCACTGGAATATACAGTTTAGTGTATATGTAACTAAATTGTTTTCATTCTTCATATCATCTTCCTGGTATATTACAAACTATGACAGTCATCCTTAAAAAAAAAGGAAAGAAAGAAAGAAAGAATTCTAAAAATGAGAAAGTGTTTAACAAGGGTAAAGAGCACAAGATAAAATTTCAGATTCCACCATTGATTTAGTGTATGTCTCAAAGGTTTTAAGATCAGTTCCTCCCTTATAAAATGAGAACTATGTAGGCTAGTCAACCTCACAGCACTGGTGTGCATGTCAAGTGAGAACATGAAACAAAAATGAAAAATGTAAAATGAAAATACCTTGTAATAATGATATCATTATGTTGGCCCTCATTATTGTCAACGGATAAAAGAGATCTTCAAAAATCTCCAAATTCTAGCAATAGCACATAAAACATATAATTCCTTCAGTTTTACCATTTACTTCTACAACTTCTCAGAATCATTCTGAGGATTAAACATGATCATATTTTAAATGGAAATAACAAAATCAGCCTGAGATAATAACATAAAAATGTTTATTGAGTATGTACTGTATGTCACCATCACCTGAATGTCAGTTTGTTGTACTGTGTTAGCTCGCGTGTTGCTGTGATACTGGAAGCTAGGCCATCAATATTTCAAATGCCAGCAGGGTCACCCACAGTGGACAGTTTACAGTGGAGCTTGCAGACTAAGACAGACCAGGAAGAAAGGACTAGTGGTCTACTTCCTAAAATTAGCCAATGAAAACTCTACAAATCACAGCACAATATTGTCTGATACATTGCTGGATTATAAGACCCCAAGGTTGAAAGGCACTCAAAACACACAGTGGTCCAAAAACAGACTCAAGCATACCAACAATCATGAAAATGGGGCAAGACCAGACAATGTTTCATTGTTTTGTACATGGGTTTCCATGAGTCAGAGCCAACTTACCAGTATCGAACAATAACTATATGTCAGGCACTAAACAAGGACTTTTCTATGCATAATCTTACTCAATTTCTCAAAACAACACTCTATGGAAATTCTAGGTTATCCTTGTTTTAGACACAACAAAATTAAAGCTCAGAGATTTTAAAACAACTCACAGTAGATCCCACAGTCAATGTCACAGTTGCAGCTTGGACCCAAATCTGCTCCCTCCTACCTGCAGAGCTGGGCACACATATACTAGTAGGATGACTCACTCTCTCCTGAGGATCAGTCTTGTAGGGATCATGATGACAACATTAAATCTGTAAATGCTAAGGATCTGCAAAGTTTCCTATAATCAACTACTTATGTATTTTTTTTAAATAATTAATATTTTCTATCCACACTTGCTACAGTAGAAATTATTTTTGCATCATCTTCACTTAGAGATTAAGAAACTAAGGTCAAAATATTTGATCCCCTATATATTTCCACATATATTATAATATCCACATACACATCTTTGGTAAAAAGGTATCCTAATTTACACATATCTTAATACCTGAAAGATGTTTGCATATTTCTTGAAACACACTTGTAGTTCAAAGTCAGAAGGAGTAAAGAAAAAGTCAAAGTCACATGAGATGGTGGAAACAGTATAGAATCAGATAGATCTGATCTCACAAATCCACTATATAATAGGTTTATCACTTGACAAAGTTAATGATTTCCTTGTATTTCAGTTTATTTATCTATATCTAAAATGGGAAACACCAGCACCTACCTCACTGGATTATCATAAAGTTTAAATTTAATAGTACAGAACGCACAAAGCTCCTGGAATAGTGCTTTGTGGAATAGTGCTCAGCAGCTGTTTTTTCCCTGCTCTGCCATTAAGAAATAACAATTTGATAGAGTTCGTGAATGAGGTCATGAGGACATAGTGTCACAGTTTCACTGAAATTATAACTAGTCTGTTGTCTATAAAAAAAAAAAAAAAAAAAAAAAAACTGTGTTAGTGGTCAACCACACCCACAAACAGAAACTACAACCCTAAAGGGTACTTCCCAAAAGAAATTACTGAAAAATATGTATTTCTTGTGGCATCCCAAACACCTTACACCACAGGATACCTTGAGCCGATATATAAAGATCTGAGTAGACCCCAGAGGTACAATATGCTCACCAGGGAGTAGGAAATAAAAGCAACTCTCTCCATTAATCTCAATTTCCCCCTGCAGACTGGGACTTCATCTTTCAAAGATGCAATTTAGGGTAGACGTTAGGAGTGTCACTAATGGAGTCAAATGGGCCTACGTCCACATCTTGGCTCTTCCACCCACAAGTTGCTTGACTTTGGGAAAGTTACTAAACCTCTCTAATCAGTTCCCTCTTGGGAATAATAATGATAAACTCATGAAAACACCTACTTCTTGAAGTCCATATATAAGGTTCTTGGCACATAAGTGATCAGTAAAGAAGGTATTAGAGCTCAAGAACAAGAGGAAGGGACATGAGAAGGTTTGTTTCCTGAATTATATTGGTCCTAGGGATTTGAGGCAATGTAAAAGCAGACTAAGGAGTGCCTTCCTGGGCTGAGGTGAGCCAGTTCCCCATGGTTTATCCTCTGTCATTGGACTTTTCCCCATTCCCTCAAAACTTCCTGCCCAGCCAGGGCTATTAGAGTCAAAGCAACACCTGATAGGTCTGAGGGGTGGAGGGCTCAACCCAGCTCTGAGTCTACCACTTAGATGCCCTGGGGCTCTAGGTCAAGGTTTGGAAAGCCCTTTAACCTGCTGATAAAAGGAGTGCCAACAATAAAACAATTTACTTCCGGAAACTCCTAAAGAGCTTTCCCAAAGAGAACTGAAAGTTCCCTGGCAAAGCTCAGGGACCATATCTGGTATCAGTACCTAAAGAGCTCCTCATGAATGCCACACTTTAGCTCTCCCCTTTAGCTTTCTCCCCTCGGTGTGTCTAGGTATATTGCTCTGTCTATGCTTTTTTTATGTTTCTGCTCAGGCTTGTGTTACAATTCCCAGCTCCCTGCTTTTCAAATATGTTTTGTGTTGTTGGGCTTTAAAAGACCAGCATGAAAGAAAATCTTACATGTTAAAGAAATCTCGGACTAGTTAGAATCAACTTTGAACATCTGAAAAGAAAAATACTAATGTATCAGGGTTTATTTGTTCTCAATACCTTTACATGAATCGATATAGATATCAGTTAAACTGTTAATTAAATCAACATTAAATCTTGATTTATTTGTAATATTTCTGTACTATTATTGAAGTACTCTTCCCATAAGGGTAATAGAATTTACCAACACAGCCAAGTGTTCTTTTTAAAAATCTAAATAAGGGAACCAGCTGCTTAAAAATCTCAATTAATGGTCAAAGTATGCAAAGCAATGCAATTGGAAGCATTGACACATAGACACTACTTTCACAGTTACACGCAGAAGTAAAATTCTATGTTATAATTTTGTGATTATGATTTTTATACACTATGATAACTTTATGCAGTTTAGAATACAGTATAGAGAAATTAAGTCCAATATGTACTACTCAAGGTATCTCAGACTCTTGCTAACTCTAATCTTATTAGGAGCTCTGGCTAGTCTTAGTAACACATGTAATTTGCTACTACTCTCAGGAAAAATGACCCTAGAGAAATTATAGAGCATGCATTTATAGAAACAGTGATTGTTACTTCCCATTAATCTCACTTATGTGCAATCATTCTATGCTAATATCATCACACATAGTAGTACATTAGAATACCTTTGAAAGCATCACATGCAGGGATTCTCTGCAAAAGAATTCATTTACTTAAACCCATATGAATCAGACACACTGCTATCAAGTTGATTCTAACTCATGGTGATCCTAGAGGACAGAGTAGAACTGTCTCATAGGATTTCCAAGCAAGAAAATCATAATGGAAGCAGACTGCCACATCTTTCTCCCATGGAGCAGCTGGTGGGTAGGAACTGCCCACCATTCCATCAGCAGCAGAGCACTTAACCACTGTACCACCAGAGCTCTTGCATTTACTTACCATCCTCTAATTTTTTTGCGAAGATGATGTTTCTTGTATAAGAGAACTTTTACGGGAACCCAAATCAACAGAGTCATGGAAGCCACGTAGGCAATAGAACAGGAAACAATAAGCCAGTAATGTGTTTTCTCAGATATATTCCTTGTCCTTTGATAGGCGGTGGCAAACTGCTCCACAATCACAAGTGTGGGAATGGAGAAAGCAGCAAGTTCAAGAAGTTCAAACAACACAAGCTTAATTAATCTTCCAGAAGCCATCCTGGGCAAGTGCATATTGCTGAGGATAAAATGCTCCTCCTTTGACTGTGAACAACATACGGATACAAAGATATTGAACTAGGATCAAGTTCCTCGTACTCACATCACTAACTAGTGACTTTTTATTCTTTTATTGACCTTCATATGGTTCAATGATCTTCTAACCTAACAACCATGGTCTCTTAAACAAACAGAACAATTGCAGAAGTGATCACTTAATGTATTTGCATAGCCATCATCAGAAGTCAAATGAACTTGATAGCACACATTTGAGTTTTAGTATAAACAATATTCAAAAATATGGTATATATTGCTAATTTTAACGCAATGAACATTTATATATAGTCAACATTTGTTAAGTAGATTGGAGTAATACAATTTCAGAGTTAAAGAAGAAAGACATAGTCCAATCTTCTATTTTTATAGTTAAGCAAACTCAGGTAAAGAGAGAGCTCTAAAACCTGATTGTTCATTTTGGAAACTCACCCTTCCTTTGTCTTCAAAGTGCTTTCAAAAGGAGTTTGGATTCAGTCTGATAACTTCCGAGCCAGAATTCTTCCTGATGCTTAAAATACATATTAGTTTTTGCACAGTAACTGCCATTTAACACAGATTAATGCTATTTTTATTTTGCTAGCCAGGAAACTAATATGGTGATATTAAAAAAAAAAAAAAAAAACCTGTTAACTCCATCCACACATTAAGAGCTCTCTCTATCTAGTCCAAAAGCATATAAAATATTTTAAAGACAACAATTATCTCCATCAGTATCCTTCCTTTAAAAAATATTTTTGAGGGCTGTGAAGATGAATGAATGACAGAAAGTCTCTTCCCATGAAAATGCTCACAGTTCAAGGTAGGAAGCAAACCAATGTACAAAAATTAACTAAGGTCAGACATATGAACTAAATGCTATGATAACACAGTGGGGAACTTCACCTTTGGACTGTGGGAAGTAGAAGGGAAGATAAGGATGTTGAGGACATATGAGGATGTTGAGGTGTCAGACACCTCATTTCAGGTAGAAAAGAGAGCACATCCCAAGACAAGGAAGCTACTATGGTTAATGTGAGTTGAGAGAAAAGTCTGGTGTTGCAAAGCTGGAAACAGAGGAAAGTGATGTTAGAAAAATAGAGTGAGGTCAGAATGTATGTGTCCCATTGAGGATTTGGTACTTTGGTGGGGGGGAGGGGTTCAGGGAAGTGGGATGTCCTTTCTGTACTGAAGAGTCACAGGATCATTTGGAAAAGAGAGTGCTTGTGTGGAGGAAGGACAGGAGAGGTACTGGGATCAAAGAGGCCAACTGGGAGCCACACAGGAGCCTGAGAAAAACTCCATGAGAGAGCCTCAGCTAAAACAAATGGAGCAGGGCTACCTGGGATGGGGCTGAATCAATAGACATTGACTCTAATTCATTCTACATGCCAGCTCCCATAGTTGGCTAGCTCTGTGCCTCCTATCACCTATAATTTCCCTCTATTTCTTAATCTCTGTTAGCCTTAATCTTCAGATACCACGAGTTTTAGCATTGGTTTGATGCATAGTTCTCTATCACATAAAATATTCTGATAATTAGCTGTACTTTCTTTGAGAGGAGGCCCTGGGTGGTACAAACAGTTAATGTGCTCACCTCTAATGTCAAGGTTGGTAGTTTAAGTCCACTCAGTGGCATCTTCAAAGAAAGTCCTGGTGATCTACTTCTGAAAAATCAGCCACTGTAAACTCCATCAAGCACAGTTCTACGTTGACTCTCATGGGGCCACCAGTAGTCTAAATGCACTAATGGCAATTGGCTTGGCTTTCTTTGAGAAGGAATTGTGCCCAACTCCATGGAAATAAATGATTGGCTGGATTAATGTTGTTCATTGAATGCAGATCATCATCAGGGAAATGATACAAATGTTTATGCAAGACCTGAGAACATTTATGGTTCATGCTGGGCAGGCTAGCACAGTGAAAGGTTGCCCTGCCCACACTCTCCATCCCTCCTTCTGTACCCACACCTTCCTGACAAACAGGAACTGGGCCATCAACCACCTAGCAGTCTCATCGTGGCCTGGCAAACACTAGGCCAATTAGATTCTCTCCCTTAGGGATTTGAACTGAGAAACGTGGGGAGAACTTAATAAGTGGCGCTAATGGATTATATGATTTTGAGTCAGGATTACAGGAAGCCGAAACTGTATGTGACAGAACTATGCCTGGCATGTTGTCAACACTTGGTAAATATCTGTTGAATGAACTAATGAACAAAGGAAGCCAGACTGTAAGAGAACAGAAGAGTGAGTAGAGAGTGAGGAAGTTGATCCCCAGAGTGAGAAGACTGGGCAGATAAACAGAGAACAAGCTTCCAGTCCTTAAAAGTGCCTCAGTTGTTGAATTATCCATTTTATGAGTATCCTTACAAAATTGAGTCTGTTTTTTGCAACCAGGAGAGCTTGAATAAGACAAAGGAAAGGGTTTCTAAGCAGGGCTGCATATAATACAGACATAATGAGTAAAAATAATGAGATGATTCAGAGATGATAGATGAAAATCAAAGTAGAGTTAATCAGAGAAGGATTCTCAGAGGAAGTAAATTTTGTACTGGATTGATTTGTTAGTTGATTCCAAGTAATATCTAAGATTACTGCATTGATCTCCTCTGTAGAATATAACAACACTTCCTTTGAAAAGTAGTTGTAAGAATGTTCATGATGTATTGAGTTGGAGAAGAGCAGGGAAAAGAAGTAAGATGATATGTACAACAATTTGAATAGCATGATCCCATTTCTGTTTTGAAATATTGTGTTGCTGTTGTGTGCTTCTGGGTCAGTTTTCAACTCATAGCTACCCCATGCAGAACTATCCCATAGGATTTTCTAGGCTGTAATCTTTACAGGAGCAGAATGCCAAGTCTCCCGTGGAGCCGCTGGTGGGTTCAAACCACCAACCTTTTGGTTAGCAGCCAAGTGCTTAAACATTGCATCACCAGAACTCCTTAAAATACTGCAGTTATAGATATATATTATGTAAATTTTAAAATCCAGAAAGATAATCACCAAATTGTTAACAGTGTTTATTGACCCTGAAGAATGAGTGAGGTAAAGTGGAGGGAGTTTTCACTTTTACTTCATTAGTATTTGCATAGTTTAAAAATATTTCCCAAGCATAAAAATTAGAAAATAATTTTAGACCAACAAAAATAAATTTTAAAAGTAATTACAATTTAATCAAAAATTGTGTGCTCTGTATTTTAAATATTTCCTTGATCAATTTGTTTCACTTGTAAGAAGCAAACTAAACAAATTTCACTTCAACTTACCCTGTTAATGGTAGCGCTGAAGAGCAGAAAACAAGGAAAAACCTTCAATAATTCTCCCCAGCTGGACATTTTGGGTTGAATTTGACAGCCTTCCTTATTCTCACAAAGAAGCTCTTATAGCACAGTACCTAAGGCATTTGACTGCCAGCTAGAAGATTGGCAGCTCAAACCCAGCAGCTGCTCCATGGAAGGAAGATAGGGCAATCTACTTCTGTAAAGATTTATATTGAAAATCCAATGGAGGGTTGCTAGGAGTGGGAATCAACTTGATAGCAGTGGTTTTATTCTCATAAGCAGGTGCAGATAAGCATCTCCTTCATTCTTCACTGTCTAGTTTAAAGGTTTTTCCTCCGTAAAACATTTCCTTACTCTCCCTCTCCAAGCAGAATGGAGCATTTCCTCTTTAGTGTCAAAACACCTTTTGAACACCTCTGGTGTACCACTTATTTCCTTATAACATTTGTTTCCATATTGGGTTGGGTCCCTATAGGAGCTCTGATAGCTTAGTGTCTAAGGCACTTGACTGCTAACCTGAAGGCTGGTAGTTCAAACCCACCAGCAACTCCTCGGAAGAAAGGTCGGGCAATCTACTTTCGTAGTGATACCACCTCAGAAATCCAAGGAGAGGTCATTATGAGTCAGGTCTGACTCAACGGCACATAACAACAAAACTGGGTCCCTATTAAAACCATAGCTCCTTTTAAGGCAAGAAGCAAGATCTATTCATCTCTGTATCATCATTTCTCAGCACAATGCCTAGCACATAACCAGTAACCAGCTGCCTTGAGTTGACTCTGACTCATAGCAATCTCATGTGCGTCAGAGTAGAACTGCACTCCGTATGCTTTTCAATGGCCGACTGTTCAGAAGTACATTACCAGGCCTTTCTTCTGAGGTGCCTCTGGGTGGACTAAAACCTCCAACCTTTCAGTTAGCAGCCAAGCACATCAACAGTTTGGACCACCAGGCCCTTAAGTGTGGGGTGAATGAATGGATCAACAAGAGATAAGTAGGAATGGTAGGCAGCTGGGAACTGTGTTAGGCTTTGATAATGGTTAACTCATCTTTTATTCCAAGGGAATGCTATCTTGCATAGTGACATTTCAGGAGGAGAACTCACATATTATCTGTCCCAGTATAATCTATTCACACAATACACAGAGCTTCAATTTCCCTGCTTGGACCCCTTACCCTTGAAGGGCTTGGTCTTAGTTACTGCTCCCTGGTCTTTTTCCTCCATAGCCATGGCATGGCCCCTTCAAAAAAAAAAAAAAAACAAACCTACTGCCATAGAGTAAATTCCTACTCAAAGCAACCCTTTAGGACAGAGTAGAACTGCCCCATAGGGTTTCCAAGGCTGTAAACCCTTACAGAAGCAGACTGCTTCATCTTTCTCCTGCAGAGCAGCTGATGGGTTTGAACTGCCAACATTTTGGTTAGCACCCAAATGCTTTAATCACTAATCACTGCACCACAAAAGCTCCTTCATGGCCCTTTGAGTCCCAAAATAAGAGAGAAAAAACAAAGTTACCAGGGATTGAAGAATTTATTAATCTCATTATGGTTGTTAGGGAAAGATTATTACCCTATGTAAACATTCACAGAGACTTTCTACCTTTCCCAACTTTTTCCAATCTGTGTGCCCTCAAAAATGTATATTCCATAATGGATTGGAACCATCAATTAATGAGGCTAG